CTTCCCAGAAAGAGAAGGGCTCTTCCTACCTTGGGCTGCTCCCTAACCCTATATTCCTCTAGGACTAGAACACACAAGCCACCAACTGGCCTTTCTGTCTCCCTGACAAGACCAAAGTGTGCAGGGCATCATTCTATTCACTGTCTGACATAAAGTTGCTAAATTAACAAATAAATAAATGAGTAAATAAATATAGAATATTGGAAGCAAAAAGTTCTACAGAAGCAGAATGGCAATCAGAAATACAGTTTATTTAATTAAGGAAACGACAGATAGTGTAACATTATGCTACATCATGCTACATTATGCTATGCTAACATAGCTGATGCTATATTAACTGAAAAAAAAGAGTATATAAAAATCCTATGAATACCCTATTTTATATGTAAACAATTACTGAAAAGACTACTTCGTAAGATTTGTCAAATTACAAGTAACTTTTTCCTATTTTACAAAATGTTACATTGCTAGCATACTTGAAAAAATAGGACATAAAGCCAGGCACAGTGGAGCACACCTGCTGTCCCAGCTATTCAGGAGGCTGAGGTGCGAGGATCGCTTGAGGCCAGCCTGAGCAACAATAGTGAGAACTCTCGGCTCTTTAAAAAAAAAAGGACATAAACAAAATCAAAATAGTTGATTCAAGAAAGAGAAAATATTAACAGACCAATAATTACTAAAATAATTAACTCAGTGACTCAGAAGTCTAAAATCTACTTTAAAAAAAGGAATGAATATAGGCAAGATTCAGCAAAGCATCAAGAAACAATTCTACAGAACAAAGGAAAAAAACCATACTGCTTTCTAACACTAGTGTAACACTAGACTGAAACTGGGTAAGGGCAGTACAAGAAGAGATCAAAAACCAAAAGTATGACGAACATGGATATCAAAATCCCAAACAAAATACTAGCAAACTGAATCCAGTAGTTATATAAATGATCTAATAGGGTTTATCCAGGAATACAAGCAGGAATTGTTCAACATTAGAAAATCTACTAAGGTCACATACCACACTAACAAATTAAAAGGAAAAAAAGACATATGCTCAATTAATTAGATGCTCAGAAAGCATTAGATAAATTCAACATTCACTCAGGCTTAAAAAAAAACTTCCAGCAAACAAGGAATAGACAGGAACTTCCTTAATCTGATTTAACACATCTACCACAATCATACACTAAACATCATACTTAATGGTAAAACTTCAGATGTGTTCCTGTTAAAACCAAACAACAAACCATGAAAGTCCATTTATCATCGCTACTGTTCAATATCATGCTGGTCAATGAACATGGAAGGGAGAGAAAGGAAGAGGGAAAAAAGCAAGGAGGGAAAAAAGGAAAAGAAATGAGACGCATGAGAACTAGAAAGGAAGAGACAAAATATTAAGAGTTCTTTACAGATATATGATGGGCTACAAAGAAAATCCAAAAGAACCATTAGGACGAATATGAAAATGCAGGTAGGTTTCTGGATATAAGATCAGCATACAAAACTCAACAGCCATAAACCCTCATGTACCCATCACTCATGACCACTTTGCTTCCTCTCTCTTCCCACTCTTTCCCCGTTCATATTATCTTGAAGCAAATCACAACATATTTTATTCATAAATGTCAGTATATAATCTCTAAAAAATAAGGACTCCTTAAAAAAAATAACTGCAATACCATTTCCACACCTAAAAGTTAATAATGATTCTTTAATATCAAATAGTCACTTCCAACAATCTCATAAATGACATCAATCTTTTGTAAGCAGCCTGTTTTTGTTTTTGAACTAGAATCTCAATAAAGTCCACACATTGAATTTGGTTACCAACAACCAAAGAAACTCAACAGCATTCCTACACACCAGCAATAATCAAAGAAAAAAACTTTAATATAAAAAGATCCATTCACAGAAGCAACAAAACTAGAAGGTAGTTAGAAATAAATCTATAAAATTTCATGGAAGTCATAAAACTTTACTGAAGTTCATAAAGAAAAATGTGAATAAGTGCAAAAATATAATATTTTCATGAATGAAGGTGTCAATTTTCATGATAGTCTATAAATTCAATATAATTTATTTCAAAACTCCAACAGCGTTTTTCAAGAAACTCAACAAATAATATGAAAATTCACATTAAAGAGTAAAGGTCTAAGAATTCAACAAATAAAACACAAAGGGGCAAAACATATTTTACCAGATATCAAGATTATTTCAAAGCAATATAAATTAGATAATGTGTTATTACTAGCATGGGAGTAAACATGAATCAACGGATAAGGAGCTAAGAACAGACCTATGTAAATATGGGACTTGATATATGGAAATGGTATTGAAGGTCAGTGGCAAAAGCATGGACTGTCCTATGATGTTGGAGGAACAGGTTTTTCATCTGATGGAAAAAAATAATAATTAGATATAAGTTCATCCCATACATAAAATCAATTCCAGGCAGATTAAAGACCTAAATGTGAAAAGCAAAGCTTTACAACTTTTGGAAGAATACTTTAGAATATTTTTTAACTACCTGACATGGAAGAATTTCATATACAAGTCACGAAAGGCAAAAAATCATAAAGTTTGACAATTTTTCTTAAACCTAAAATTTTAAGCATATGTATGATTAAAGATACCATAAACAAATTGAAAAGACAAGCCACAGATGGATAGAAGATTTCTGCAATACAAACTAAGAACTAGAATCCATAATATATTATTAAAATATTAATAAGCCATTAAGAAAAGACAATCCAGTAAGAAAATAGTCAAGAACAAGTCATAGAGCACACATATACAAAGATGCAACCTCACTAGAAACAAGGGCAACGCAGAATAAAACAACAAGAAAATCTCATAACAAACAGATTGGCAAAGCTAGAAAATCTGTCAAAGGCAAGGGTTAGTAAGGATATGGAAAAAAACAGGAAGTTTTATGTACCACTGGTGGGAGTATACATTATTATAGAATAAGCATTCTGGAAAGCAACTTGGCAATTTCTAGCAAAACTAAAAATGTGTATATCACAATATAATATTCAAACTCAATGGAGCAAGGTTTATCAAACTATAGTTCATGACCTATTAGTAGGTCATAAAGTCAAATTAATGCTTCCTAACTAGCATTTTTGTGTGTGTTAAGGAAATAGAATAAAAAACATCAGAGTTATAATGCATATATTATATTTCATAAAATTCATGCTTCAGTTAAATTTATATGTGTATATGGGTGGGTACCACAGTGGATTTAAAATATGTTTCTTACTATTAAGTTGTGGGCAAAAAAGATTGAAAGTCACTGCCCAAGAAATATTCTTGCATTTGTGCACAAAGAAACATTTACAGGGATGTTCACAGTAGCACTGTTTATTAAGTGAAATACTAGAATCACAATGTCCATCAGCAGGGGACTGTATAAACAAAATGTGGTATATTCATAAAATGTAACTCTATACAAAAGTTAAGATGAACAGTCTGTATATCAATATGGGCAAATCACAAAAATATGGTGAATATAAATAACAAGATACAAAAAAGAAACAAGCGGTATGCTACCACTTACATAAATGTTTTAAAAACACCTGAAATTATTCTATTATTAATAGATACATATATACATTTAGTAAAATGGTAAATACATGAACAGAAAGGATACAACCAACTGCAGCATGCTTGGTTGCCTCTGAGAATGAAGGAAGGGAATTGGGTAAGATACAATAGGTACTTACATGTCAGAAATGTTTCATGTCTTTTATTTTCAAAAATATAAATCAAATCAAATAAAAATGTTAACATGTATTAATTCTGAGTGACAAGAACAGATTATTTTATGATTAGCTATACTTTACTTTTTCTAGATTGTAACTTTTTTCCAAATTAAAAAAAAAATCCCTTCCCTTGATACTCTAGCACCAAAATCTGCCTTAAAATACAATGACATCAAAAAAGTAATTAATTATAGATGATACAATCTAAAAAACAACTAAGTATTCTAAGTGTCTCTAATTATAACAGCAAAGACAGATTTCTGCACCAACCACCTCCCTGCCTCTCTTCCCCTGTCTTCTCTTCCTACACCTCAAGAACTGGTCAATCTGTCTGTTTTGAGATAACCTCCAAAAGGGCTAAACTCTTTCTTATAAAAACTCACTTGATTGTTTACAGTCAGTTACAGATTGAACTCCTTGTTCTACTCTTTCCCCCCTTCTCACTACTGCACTTGACAAGTCTTCTACAAAATTAAAAAAAATAAAAATTAAAAATAAATTTAAAAACGCCAAAAGTTCTGAAACCCATACCCTCACCTTGAGCACAAACCAATGACTAAATTCTAGGATGTCCTCAACCACAACAACCATTTCACAGTTTATAAGGCCTTTCCCCACATACTCCATCATTTGATTCTCAGAATAACCCTATAAGGTCAATATTACCAGTACCCACATTTACAGATGAAGCTGATGCACACAGCAGCTAATTACCAGCCAGAGGTCACAAGTCAACAACACGGCCAACTGCAACCCTCAGCTTCTGAACCTAATCACCCTGACAGTGCCACTGTGTGATGACTTTATTTCAACCATACACCACCACACCCAGAAAACAGGAAGGGGTGCTCACAAAACGCAAGCTGCTCCTATCTAACCCCCGTTTCTTTACTATTCCATCCCTGGTCTTTCTCTCCTCTCTCCTTCTAGACAGGCAGCCAAGAGCAAAAGAGCTGCCACCATTAACCCTTCCTTTCCCTGTAGCCACTTGCACTTCTTTTTCCCACAACTCCTTTCCACATTCCCCTTTTAGGGGAAACAAGTATGAACAAAGGGTCACAGGATGGTCCCCCTGACACAGGGACCCCTGCACCAAAGAGAAGGACTGAAGTCTCCCCTTCCATTTTCCAAGAGTTACGGAGCAGGAAAACGCCATAGAAAAGCCTAGGCTACCACTCTTTAGCAGTGCTGGCAAAAATCTTTTACTGAAGGGATTTACTTAACAGAAAAATGTAAAAGTACCAGTTTTTTAAACGGTCCCGGGCTTCCAACTGGGCTCCCACTTCAAAGCTGATTCCTCGTCTGTTAGGTGGATGCTTTGTCATTTTCAGTCATCAACAGGGCTGCCTTTATTCTCCTGAAAAAGCCAATTAAATATTTATGAAACTTAGGCAAAGTCTGCCCAGAGTGTAGCATCACTCACTACACATAAAAAACAAACAGGCATTATTCAAAACACAAAGCTCCATAAAACCCTGTCAGCGTCCTCACTCTAACACAGGTGCGCCCTCCACTGTTTCCTGCTCCTCTGTCATGTGCACCCTGTGGTCTCTGGAACTGAGGAGACCCTCCCTCAATACTGCTTACCAAGGACTCACCTAGCAAGGACACCCCTTAGAACTTGAAAAAACAATTGCTCTCATTGTTAAATTCAATCATTGCTGATGCATTCAACAAATATTTGCTCAGCAACTAATTATTTAAGAAAATAGTCAAAACCAAAAGAGAGACAGTTCCTGCCCTTAAGAAGCCTTCCGTCTACTGGGGGAAGACAAAAATTTAACCAGTAAACTGCTAAATGAAATAACTGCAAGCTGTGAATTGCTATGAAATTCAAGGGCTACAAAGAAAGCAAACAAATGCCAGGCGTAGTGACAGGTGGGAGGATCCCTTGAGTCCAGGAGTTTAAGACTAGCCTGGGCAACATAGTGAGATCCTGTCTCTAAAAATAAAAATAAAATAAAAAAGAAGCAAACAAAAGCTGAGACACTGATAGCTGGCTCTACTTTTGGAAGGCTGAACAAGAAAGATCTATTTATACTTTTTTGATTTATGTTTATTTTCTACTTTTTCAGTCCATTCTGACAATTTATATTTTCCTAAGTCCATTTTATCCAGATTTTCAATTTTATTAGCATGGAACAGTAGAACAGTACAAAATATTCTCTCTTAATTCCTTTAGTTGCTTTTAAATCTTAAGTCACCATTTCAATCTCACTTATTCTCAATCCTGCCTTGTGTAATTGTGCTCTCTTTTTTTTCTTTATCAAGCCTTTGGGTAACGAGATTGGTGGTTATTTTCTACATGAGTAAAACATATCTTTATGATCAGAACTAAACAGTAAAGCTATTTTCCTTTGGAGAAAAAAAGATTTGATTAGGTCATTTATGGGAAAAGTGGCCGTCACAAAACTACGGTTCTGGCTGGGTGCGATGGCTCATGCCTGTAATCCTAGCACTCTGGGAGGCCGAGGCAGGAGGATCACTTGTGGTCAGGAGTTCCAGACCAGTCTGAGCAAGAGCGAGACTCCGTCTCTACTAAACATAGAAAAAATTAGATGGGCGTGGTGGCGCATGCCTGTAGTCCCAGCTACTCGGGAGGCTGAGACAGAGGAGGATGGCTTGAACCCAGGAGTTTGAGGTTGCTGTGAGCTAGGCTGATGCCACGGCAAAAAAAAAAAGAACAGTTCCCAGTTTCCAGGATCACTGAGGTAATTAATCTGTAAAGTCCCAAATGTAATCAGAGGGGCTAGTGCTGGTTCTTACGGAGATGAAGCCACTCTGAGCTCTCAGGACACTTAAGCAGTCTACCTCCCCACAGCAGGCTACCCCAGACTAACTCCTTCCTCCCACTGAACTTTGGCTCTTGACAGCCTACACTGCTTCAACAATGCCAGGACACAGCCAGGGTAATGCCTGCCTCCTACAAGGAGTACAATCTTTGCAATGAATGAATGTGAAAAAAAAAAATCACAGAAGTGGGTTCTCATATCTGATGCATAATAGCATCACATCTTATGAAGAATTTGTTTGCAATATATTAGATGAAACGCAGGATGCAAAATTATACCACTTTGAGCTCACATTAAAACTTGCATGCATTTAAAAAAAAAAAAGACTGGAAGAAAAAAACAGGTTATAAGTGATTGTTCCTTTCCTCTTAAATAATTTCCTAAATTTTATAGTTTTTCGCAATGAAAATTTTCCATAAGAAAAATGTATAATGTGGGAAGAAAAAAACAGGTTATAAGTGATTGTTCCTTTCCTCTTAAATAATTTCCTAAATTTTATAGTTTTTCGCAATGAAAATTTTCCATAAGAAAAATGTATAATGTGAAAGATCATCCATGTGAAGGAAAATAAACTATCTGTTAACCCATTCTGAAGGGCCAATATTGGGAAACACACAAAGCAAAGCCGATTGAGGCAGAAATGGTTGACAGTTGTAATTAAAGAAGCTGAAACCTAATAAACTGAAAAGCTATACTAGCAGGAATGTTTTGACCTCTTAGACCCTAGGAAAGGGAATGTCAGGTTTGACTGGCTTTCTCTAACACTCTTCAGGAAAATGAGATGTCAAATCTGACATATAAGCATAATTCAATCAGTAGAAAAGTCTTTTTAGCTTTTTTTTTTTGGCTTGCCTGACATATCACGTCAAGTTATCTTTTATCTCTGACTGCATACCCAGTAGTATTCTGATTAATAGTTTGCTCCACCAGATCATATGAAAAGGTGATGCCAGACAAGAAGGCAGAGTGGAACTGAACACTCACTGAGCTGCTATTATTGGTAAGGCTGTATTCAAGGAGACAGCCCCTACAGAGGTAATGTAATTTAATGTAGTGGGGTTAAATGGCGGGCCTTGAACTCCCCAGCTCCACCCCTTATTAGGTGAATGAATTTATGTAAATTATTTAACATCTATGAGTTTGTTTCCTCTCTGTAAAACGGAGATGGTGATAATAATAGTATCTATCTGAAAGCAGTGGGTGTGAGGATTAAATGAGATAATCCATTTAAAGAGCACAGGCCTGCTAGCTATTTTTTTTTTTTTTTTTTTGAGACAGAGTCTTACTCTGTTGCCCTGGCTAGAGTGAGTGCCGTGGCGTCAGCCTAGCTCACAGCAACCTCAAACTCCTGGGCTCAAGCGATCCTTCTGCCTCAGCCTCCCGGGTAGCTGGGACTACAGGCATGCGCCACCATACCCGGCTAATTTTTTCTATATATATTTTTAGTTGTCCAATTAATTTCTTTCTATTTTTAGTAGAGACGGGGTCTCGCTCTTGCTCAGGCTGGTCTCGAACTCCTGAGCTCAAACAATCCGCCCACCTCGGCCTCCCAGAGTGCTAGGATTACAGGCATGAGCCACTGTGCCCGGCCCATAGTAGCTATTGATAACTGTATTATCACAATGAAGAAATTAGGCCTAAAGTAACTTGGCTGAAGTTTAGGTGGTAAATGACAGTTCCCAGAAAAAAGCCCAAGTCTTCCTGATATCTGAATTAATTCTTTGCACCATACAACTTCCCCCCAGGCACCCTAGGAGGCCTTTCATTAAAATACAGGAGTGAGTGAACAAGGCAGTGAATGAATGAAGATGAGCAAATCATGGCTCATCCTAATGGCGCAAAAAAACCAATTCCTGTGCTCACTTCAGCAGCACATATACTAAAATTGGAACGATACAGAGAAGATTAGCATGGCCCCTGTGCAAGGATGACACGCAAATTCGTGAAGTGTTCCATATTTTTTCGGACTTAGGGGGGCAGGGGGGGCAAGGGCAACATACGTAACCTAAACATCTGTACCCCCATAATATGCTGAAATTAAAAAAAAATAAATTAAAAAAAATAAACAATTCCTCTTGAGGCTGAACTATCATAGTTCTTCTAATCATGAACTAAATAAAATAACTCTGACCCATCTGTTTGAAGTTCCATTCTCTGGTATCACACAGAACACAAAACTAAATGACTTGGGCTTTCTTATCCCATTACCAATTTTCTCTCCACCCCTCTTGGGTGGCAGAGTTTGTTTTCAAATTTCATATTAATTCATTCAACAAACCATTAATGAGTATTGTCAGTAAAGCACTATGCTGGAAATGCTGAAAATTAGGAGTCCAACTCGGTCCCAGCTCTAGTCCACCCAGCAAGACAAACACAAATACTAAGAAGAGATGATGAGCTTTAACAAAGGTCAAGGGGAGGGACACCGGGGAAATCATCTGAAAGTATCAATTTAATTTAACAATATCTACTAGAGAATAAAAAACAGTTCATACAGAAGCAGGAACTTCAAAGAAATTACAAAAGAAGTGCATTTTGGCTTCTTGCATTCAGTTTTAAACACAATTTTTCTAAAGATGCAATAGGCCTAAGATTCTGTAGCTTTTAACTTATCCATTCTTCATGGCCTCTTAGCTTTTTCTTCCAAAAATCTCCAGCTTCCAGAATAAGAAGAAAAGAGAGTATGTTCAATTTGGACATAGGGAATATTGACTAAGAGAAAAAAATCTGATGCAATCTGTATTCACATAGGATTCCATTTTAATGACCTTGGTAGGACTTTCAATTACTCCTTTACATTCAAATTTCCCTACAATGGGAACCCACTGCTACACAGAAGACAGAGCCTAGTTTATGTCCTTAAATACAGTATTCAGTCAATGTTCCCTGTATCAATGATAATGAAAGCTTCAAATGCACATTTTAGGCCGGCGCGGTGGCTCATGCCTGTAATCCTAGCTCTCTGGGAGGCCGAGGCGGACGGATTGTTTGAGCTCAGGAGTTCGAAACCAGCCTGAGCAAGAGCGAGACCCCATCTCTACTAAAAATAGAAAGAAATTAATTGGACAACTAAAAATATATAGAAAAAATTAGCCGGGCATGGTGGCGCATGCCTGTAGTCCCAGCTACTTGGGAGGCTGAGGCAGGAGGATCGCTTGAGCCCAGGAGTTTGAGGTTGCTGTGAGCTAGCCTGATGCCACGGCACTCTAGCCGGGGCAACACAGTGAGACTCTGTCTCAAAAAAAAAAAAAAATGCACAGTTTAAAGGGTACTTTCACAAATGACAGATTGGGAGAAAATACTGCAACCCACAGGACAAAGAGCTAACTTCCTTTATTAACAAAGAGTGCATACAAATCAAGGACAAAAATTCAAACAAGTCACTTAAAAATGGGCAAAGTGTAAGAACTGGCATATGGGGTGGGGAGACAAGATACAAAGGTCTAATAAGCATGTGATATTAGAATCACATAACCTCACCCTAAATTAAAGGAAACGCAAATCAAAATATCAATTTTTCACTTCTCAAACTGGCAAAAAATGGCAAGGATAAGGAGAAAAGAGC